TATATATATATATATATATATGCAAAACAAAAACAGAACAAAACCTACAAATAAAAACAGTTACCCAAGGGTGGTCAGTGCTGTGGAAACAAAGGGGAATTCTTTGATTATTAAAGACAGTAATTTCTTGCCTCAATACATATTAAATATTTTTCCAGTTTGTCATTTGCCTTTAACTACATCTAGAAACTTTGGTTGATGTGAAAGGATTTTATGTGGCCAAATTTGTAAATCTTTCCCTTTATGGTTTCTGTGCTTGGAAAGATTTTCTCCATCTCAAGATTATAAAACCACTTGCCCAGGTTTTCTTATTCCAGTTACCTTGTGGATTTACTTATTCCACTTAATCCATCTGGAATTGTTCTCAGCATAGAGAGTGAGGAAGAGATCCAGCTGACTTGGTTAGCCAGTTGGCCCATGACCATTTGTTGAATAATCCATCTTTTCCTTGGAGATTTGAAATGGCTTCTATATATGAATTCTCCTCTGCTTTTGCACTTTGTGCCTTTCCTATATCACATCAACCATTTAAGTCGCTAGAGCTTTGTATTTATTTTTGCAATTTGGAAATGTTGGTTCTTTGGACAGATTACCTAGCTTCTCCGGGCCCGTTTTCTCCTCCGTAAAACAGGGATACCATCAACCGTGAAGGTTTTTCTGAGAACTAAAAAATTAATGGACGACTTTAGTCCAAGGGGTCAGGTGAGCCTCTTGGAGAAGGTAATATTTGATCTGAAATCTAATTGACAAGGAAGTACCTGCGTGGCAGAGGGGATAGCAAAGGCAAAGGCCCTGAGGCAGGGACTAGCTAAGGGGGTTGCAGGTCAGAGAGGAGGGCAGGCTTCTGAGGGACCTGGGCAAGGGGAGAGTGAATGGTGGGCCGCAGTGAGGGCTTTGCTGTCACTATAACGGTACTGGAGAGCCACCGCAGGATCGGGAGGGAGAGTGGGGCCCATGACCCTGACCTGTTCCCACAGTCGATGGAGTCGCAGGTGGAGGAGTGGTACCGAGAGGTGGGAGAGTTGCAGGCGCAGACGGCGGCGCTGCCGCTGGAGCCGGCGAGCAAGGAGCTGGTGGGCGAGCGGCAAAACGCGGTGGGCGAGCGCCTGGTCCGCCTACTCGAGCCGCTGCAGGAGCGCCGCCGCCTGCTGCTCGCTTCCAAGGAGCTGCACCAGGTGGCGCACGACCTCGACGACGAGCTGGTGAGGCCCGGAGCGGGGAGCCGGGCGGGAGGGGGCGGTACCAGGGTCACGGGGCGGGGCGTGAGGCCAGAGGCGGGTCAGCGGGCCAACGGGGTGGAGGCGGGGGCGAGGCCAAGGGACCTTGGCGGGTTCAAGGGTTTTAAGAGACCTGAGACTCAGTAATTCAATCTTTCACTCATTCACTTATTCATTCGCTTTTTCACATTCATTTACTCGCTTTCAATCATTTATTCATTGTCTCATTCTTTTGTACTTCACTCATTTACTTGTTATTAATTTATTCACTCATCATTCATCCATTCATTTCCTTTCAGTCACTCACTTCCTGATTTGCTCATTCATTCATTCACTCACTAATCCATTTTATCATTCTGGCCCCATCCCTGAGCTTGGAAGATGCTGGAGTCACAGGGATGACCAAGGCAGACCCCTTTCCTGCCCATAGAGGCTCAGAGTCCAAAGGGGAAAACAGACTTGTCTGTCCCCAGATAGTCACAGGGTGGTTAGGACTGTGATGGGGGGGCGGGGGTCAGAGGACTATGGGAGCCCAGAGGAGGCAACTGGTCAAGGTCCGAAGTCAGGGAGGGTTTCCTGGAGGAAGGGGTGTCTGCGCTCAGATGTGAAGAAAGAGTACACATGAGCTTGCTGAGGGAGTAGGAAAGGAATTCCAGGAAGGAAAGCCTGCCTGTGCAAAGGCCAGAGATAGGCATGGGCCTGGCTTGAGTGCAGAGAGTAAGACCGGGCATTGTCCAGAGAGGCGGCCAGTGATGTGAGCAGGCTCTTAGGCAACAAAGGGCCTTGGATCCTGTGCGGGTGGCTCACAGGGATGCAGGGATCCTGGGATGCATTCTCCCCTTGACCGGCTCCCTGTGTCCTCTCAGGCATGGGTCCAGGAGCGGCTGCCGCTGGCCATGCAGATGGAGCGAGGCAGTGGTTTGCAGGCCGTCCAGCAGTACATCAAAAAGAACCAGGTGAGCAGATTCTGGTCGCTGGGGGGGATTAGGACACATCTGCATTTGAGTGACAGAAAATGCTCAAGTTGCTTAAAGCCAAAAGGCGGGATTAACTGGATCTTGTCACTGAAAACATGGCAGGTACAGATGCGTCCAGGTGCTTCCATGATGTCGTAAATTGCTCAGCTTCAGCTTCTTTGTTTGTTTGTTCTGCATTAGTTTTGTTCTTAAGCCAACTCTCCTCTCCTGGTGGTAAGAGACCTCCAACAGATTCAAGTTTATATCCCACACAAAACTGAAGAAAATTTCTCTCTTTAAAAAGATGCCCAGTCTCAGTAATCAGCAATAGTTCCAGGAATAACTCTTATTGGCTCAACTTGAGTCACATGTCTACTTCCTGAGCTAATCGTGGAGGGCAGGGATTTAGACTGCTGAGGTTGGCTTGGTCCCCGCTAAGGGCCCACTCTTTGAACAGCAGGTGGAGTCAGCCTTAACTTAATTACCTGTGATGAGACGGAAGCAAGGAGGTTCGCCAAAAGAAAGTCAGAGTCCCTTGACTAGAAGGGGAGTGGCTGTTGGGCCACAAAAAAGAAAAACAACAAACAAAATCTCAAAACGCCCACAGGGAGCAAGAACAGAGAGGATCAGTGAGAGAGTGCCCCTTGAGTGTGGCTCTTCCACAAGATACCGACTTCTGCGCATAGGCCACGAAGTTTCAATCGCACTGTACATGCGCGCCTGCACGTGGTATTTTGTGGAAGAGCCACACTCAAGGGGCCAAAGAGCCGCATGTGGCTCACGAGCCGCAGTTTGCCGACCACTGCTCTAAAATCACTAGGTCTCTGTTGCACTCTCTGGGCCTCAGTTTCCAGGTCTAAATAGTAGAGAGTTGGTCTAGAGCAGTGGTCTCCAATCGGTTAGGAGAGGAAACCTTTGGTCAAAGCAACTCTTTTACCAAAGCTCAAAGTAAGGCACATAACAGAGGAATAATAATAATAACAATAATAATAATAATAGCAAAAGTGCATTGATTAAAGATGACGTGCCAAGTACTGTCCTAGGGGGTCATGTAGGTTATTTCATTTAATCTGCACAATAACCCTCTGAGGTAGGTATTGTCAATACCCCTTTTTACAAACAAAAAAAAAGTTGTAAGAATGGGGCTCTGAAGGATGGTGGGGAGGTGAGTACAGAAATTATTTTGAAAGGTTCGTGATCATGCTGCACCAGATGGAGCTCTTTAAGAGGCTGGAGTTTTTCTCACATTTTGTTTTTCCATCTTGATGAAATTACTCTTTGCTGTGGACGGTGCTGGGGACACGCATAGCCGGCTCATCACTTTCAAGTGCACTGAATGTTTAACACTGGGGCTCGGCCGGGTGTGAGAGGGCTGGGCCCACAGGGGCTGTTAAAGGGACAATCGTTGCTGATATTGACTGAGCACCCCCTGTGTGCCAGGCACAGTTCCAAGTGCAGCATGGTACAACACCCACACAGGCGGCCACTAGCCATGTGACTTGGCCGTGTTCCTCAGCCTCTTGGTGCCTCAGTTTCCTCATCTTTACAGTGAGAATGGGGTTGGAGTGAAGACTGGATGAGTGGCTGTTATGTAAAGCCCTTGCTCAGCAAAGTGCCTGGCAGGTAGCAGCCACTCAATAAGTGTTGACCATTATTATTATCTCCATTTGAAGGGACAGGAGGAAACAGGCCCAGGAGAGGTTAAAGAAGGTACAGAGCTGGTGGAGGGAAAGTCTGGGGTGATGGAGTGTTCCCTATGCTGATCTGGGTACCCCTGAGATGTGTGCACGTTGCTCTGTGTAAGTTATACTCCAGTTGTCCCCACGCAGCCTGGTTGCCGGGCCTGTGTTCTCTTGTGTCACCAGGCGTCTTGGTTCTGGAGCCTGTTTTCAAATCCTGTCACCCCCCTACGAGCTACTTGTTCTCGGGGTGACGTGCTTCGCCTCCTGTGCCTGTTTCCCCACCTGCCACACGGGGTCTGAGCGAGTGAGCGAATGAGTAACGGCTTGTGTGGGACCTGGCGCTGGCTGGTTGACGTGCGGGTGTTTGCCCGCCTCTCCTGGGACGTGCCAGTTGCGGAAGCGCACGCGTTCCTGCCTGGCTTCCGAACGCGGCTCACGCACCCCCACCTCGCGTCCCCAGGGCCTGCGGCGAGAGATCCAGGCGCACGGGGCCGCGCCTGGAGGAGGTGCTGGAGCGCGCGGGCGCTCTTGCGGTGCTGCCAGCCCCGAGGCGGAGGCGGCGCGTCCGCGTCCAGGAGCAGCTGCAGAGCGCCTGGGCCGGACATGCGCGAGGCGACCGAGCGGCGTGCAGCAGGCCCTGGACGCCGCCTTTCCAAGTGTAGCAGTACTACTTCGACTTGGCCGAGTTGGAAGCGTGGGTGTCTAGCAAGAACTGGTTCTTGATGAGGGAGAACAAGGACAAGGTGCGCCCGGGCTAGGACTGCGGGGTCTGGGTGACGCTTGGAGCGCGGG